TGTGTGGTGTGTGGTTGTATGTCAGTAGAATAAATAAGCTCAGAACACAGGCATGTGCTTCAAAGCTTTAAACCTGTTCTGTTGCTACATATATGTTTAGATTACTGTATCTTTGAGGACTGATGTGTTTCTCTGAACTTTGACCTTCAGCCTGACGACGCTCTGATATTGGATCAAATCAAATGACAAAGCCAACGCCTTGTTCAAATGTCCAAACTCCAGTGAAGCCTCTGAGTCAGTCTTCTAAGTTGATCCGCCTCCTCCCTCTGAGCTCACCTGAACTCGGCGCTGACTTTGATGTCTGACACCAAAACTGAACAATGACACGTCGACCACAAAACCTTACCCAGTCCGACCCACGGCTACATGTCTTCTTCTCTCTCTCTCTGATTTCCTGTCTCTCTCTCACTGTTACTGTCAGAATAAAGGCAAAAGTGCCCAAAAAATAACATAAGAAAAACTAAGAATCAAACCCGAAGACTTGCACTGACTAATAGAAGAGGTTTGAGTGGTTCAGTGTGACCCATGTGTCTGTCAGACACTGTCACTGAACGCAGCTGTCGTCTGTCACACTGAACGCTGCTTCAGTGAAACAGAGTTGACTTGTGTGGTCAGACAATCACCTCCAGTCTAACCCAGTAACTGTAGTGAGCAAGAGAGGAGGAACTCAGTTTCATTATTGTCAGGTATATAAAGTTTGGTTCTTGAACTTCCTAGAGAACTTCAATATCACAAGTAAACGGCCGACTGTGAGTGGGCGTGGTCACACATGTACATCTCTACCTGTTCTAACACAGCTACAGACTGACCCCACACTGACCTGCTTCAATGGGAAACACTTCACATTAAGGAAGTCATGTTCCTCTTATCTTCAAAGCAGAATCCGGTCTATAAATCAGCTGATAACAAACAGTAAATAAACCATTCATGTTCTCAGTGTGTACAATCATGTTCCACCATTTACTGAAGCCTGTTTCCTGTGTGTGTTTATATTGACCTCTAGATTCACCTCTGACCTCAAAATGACCTCCACGACAGTTTACCACCAATGTGTATACACCTCTGTGTCCTTGTGAGGACATCT